AACTTGACAAGTAAACCTATTAGCTAGCTAGGGCACGTGATTCCTTCTAATCATATAGAAGGAATCAGCTCCCCTGAGCCTTGGGGAGCAGACAGAATTCAGATACCTTATCAACCGAGTGTTTTGCAATTGCAAGTACTTTGACGACCTTACGAAGTTACGAATATATTCCTAATCGCTTGGAAGCAATCCAACACTTCCTTCTTTCTTTCTTTCTTTCTTTCTTTCTTTCTTTCTTTCTTTCTTTCTTTTTTCTTTTTTTCTTTTTTTCTTTTTTTCTTTTTTTCTTTTTTTCTTTCTTTCCCTCCTTCTATTATCCGACCCGTTCTGATTTCATCTCCTACGCCTCTTTTGTTTTTTCTCCCGCGCCCTTAATCTGGGAGTTTCAAGAAGCGTGTTAAAAGAAAGAAAGTGGAAAGGGAAAGGGAACTAGAACGAACTCCTTCCTCAAAAAAAAGGGAAAGGAAAAAAACCGAAACCCCACCCTTCCCCCCTCACCCCCCACCCCAAAAAGAAGATATTTTTATCATCAAGAATTCCGAGAATCCTCCATCGCTACCACCCCATTCATTCACCCATCCACTCACTCACTCACCCACCCATATGTACGTACCCCCCTCCCCCCTCCCCCCCTCTTCCCCTAAACCAAGAAGCCCAGCGGCTCATACGGCTCACAAGCATTGCTCGCTCGCTCGCGTGCTCAAAAAAGCGCCCCATCAGCAACGAACGCACCAAAGGGTTTCTCCAAGATTCAAAATTTCAATATTCAACAGAGAGGAACGGAAATGGAATGAAAAATGCAAAGATCTTTTTCAAGGTGCCGCCACAACGCACTCCTCACTGACCTCCACCCGCGTCGTCTTGACCACCCCTCCCCCCTTGCCCGCTCCGTCCGACGTCCTCTTCTCCCCCTTTGCAGCCCGCAGCATCTCGCGCCGCTCGCGCTCGCGGTACGCGCGCGTGCCCATCTTGGGCGAGCCGGGACCGAGCTCGTCGTCTGCGTCGGTAGTGGTGATGGTGGTGGTGGGCGGCTTTGCGTGGAAGGGCGAGTGCGTGCAGAAATGCGAGTTGTTGCTGTGTGAGCGCGAGTGCAGGTGGGGGTGGGTATTGTTGCTGGAGGAGCGGCTGGGGCTGGGCGATGACCAGATGGACGTGCTGACGGTGGTGGGCGTTGGCGAGATGGCGGGTGTGCGGTGCGGCAAGGGGGAGGTCGGGTCGTGGCTGCTTGAGCGGTCGGTCGGCTTGTGACGGTTGTCCTGGGGGGAGGCGGGTTGGCTTCGATGGTGGCCGGGCGGGGAGGGGGAGGATGAGGATGAGGGGGAGGGTGAGGATGGGGCGAAGAAGGGGAGGTGGACTGTGGTGCGGAAGAGAGAGAAGAAGCCGCGGGTGTGGGTGCTGTGGGTGCTGTGGATGGGCAAAGTTGATGGGTGGAGCGGTGTTGACGAGGTAGCGGACGAAGGGTTGTATGCCGAGCCCGGGCTCATCTTCTGTAGGGAAGAGACGCTGGTGCTGGTAGTGTCGAAGGGTGTCGTGTTTTCAAAGAAGGTGCCTTGGGATCCTTTTCGGGTGTTCATTGAAATCATGCTAATCTATGGTCAGAAAATCCTCTACAGATATATCGAACAGGGGAAGGGGAGAGGGAACGGGGAGAAGATGGAAGAGAGAAGAGTCAGGAAACTTACGTATCACCACCCATTGCCGTCGAGGCCTGACTGTCCTTCCTCTTATCCCCATCCAGATATTTCATAGCCTTGCCGACAAGATCAAAACGGCTTCCAAAGGATCTCCCTCCGCTGTTGAAAGTCCCACTGCCGTGTCCACTTCCACTAGCGCTTCCGCGTCTCTCGTCTCTGCTCAGCTTCAGGCTCGGCCAGACCTTCCCAGCACCGCACATGACCAACCACTTGCGGTAGCTGTCCACGGCATCATCGTTGAAGCCAAAGAACAAGAACATGCTGAACGCCATGGCGATACCACCCCATCCGTTCCATTGCAGCGAAGGCTGGTTCTCGGTATGGATGAACAGTACCGGGTTCCATGTGACAGGGTTGTGCACGCGTGCCCACGAGTACTTGACGAAGGAGGTGGGGATGGCGAGCCAAATGAACACGGATTGAACGGGCAGGTAGATGAGCATCGTTGAGAGGGAGATGATGACGAGTTTGATGAATTTGCGCGGGGCGAGACCAGAGCCGGTTGATGTAAGAGCAGCGCTGATGGTGCGGCGATGCTTGTAGAGCCGGGTGAGCATGATAACTGGAGTTTTGCTTGTTAGTTACTGATATCCTTGTTCCCGTTAGGATGGAAGGTAAAGAAGACTGACTGGCATAGTACACATTCAGCAGAGTGAACAGCGGGCACCATATGATGATAATGATCAGCATCGGCCACGAGTTATCCAACTGATCTCCACACCCCCATACTGGCGCAATCATATACCGACCAGCCTGTACCACGTAATGCAACGCCATTTGTATGACAGGGATGGCCCAGCAGAATAGCACATCACCAAGCAGCTTGCGTCGTCTTTGTGCCTTCGTCTGGTTGAAGACCGCATGCTCGGTGTCCAGTGCATCAGCTAAGCCTTTTGTTAAACAGCAGAGAGAGGTAGCAAGAGCCATGGTGATGGGGAAGCGGAATAGGCTTTCGACGTCACAGACGCCGTAGCCGATCCACCATTCTGACCAGTCATCGTTGGGCCAGAGGAGGGCGTTGACGAAAGTCTGCAGATTGACGTAGTTTACGACGAAGATGATGCTGCAGGCTGCGACGTTATTGACGCGGTAGAAAGAGCGAAGAGGCAGGTAGGTGATGATGAGCGCGATGACGGCGAAGATAGGAAGGGCAATGGCGTTGGCTGCGTTGGCAACGACGGTTGGTGGTACGCCTGTGTCCGTCGTGATAAATGCTGGGAGAGCATCTGAGTTCTCCATCTTGAATAGGAGGGAAGAGAATGAGGAGGATGTTTGCTGAGATGGACTCGAGTTGAGCGAGGAGGCCGAATTTGTATGGATAATGAAATGAGTCTGTACCAGGCTTGAGACGGGGTCTCGAGCAAAAGCAAGAATGAAGGCTTTCTCTCAGACAAAGAGGTAGATCACTGTCTCTTGCAGAGTTGTGGATTTGCGTGTGTGGTACGGGCGTTGGTCATGAAGGAATCAGTTTGCCGGGAGAGGATAAATAATTCAGGGGATCACAGACATATACTTGACCCATGGCCAAACCCATGGTCAATAGGTACACTGATGGTATTGAGAGATGTGATAGTATCTCTTTTCTATTGAGGACTTTGCTATTGAGATGTGTAGTGGCGTCGCTAAGCGAGCTTATTGAAGACCCGAAGGAGATGTCAATAGTAAGCGAGAAGCGGGCCACGAATGCTTTCGAAGGTCGAGGAACTGAATATCGGAAAGGAAAAGAAAAAAAGGATACAAGGTGAATCGAAGCCGAAAGGCGTGATGTCTGTAGCAGATAAATGCATCGGACCAATGTAAAAAACGAACCTCTTTGATGCAATGTTGAAATTTGGCGATTGAAAAAGGTGAGGGGATCTGTTTTGCCTCTTCTGCTGGAATTCTATCAGGCCGGCTCTCCAGCTGCAGGTCTCGAACAAGAAATTCAAGACTCCAAATCTCCGGGTACTGCCACTACCACTTGGGGGCGATTTGGGAAGTTGAGGGGCGCTTTTCACAGGAGGTGTCTGGACTCTTGCAGATCGCCACATCCGAGCCCAAATACATCGCAACGAAAAGCATCGACAAAATAGCACATGCGATAGATAGACAGAAAATTTGTGTAAAAAATGCATCTGACCAGGACTCTACAGTCCTCAGGCAGGAGATAGCTGCAGTATCAGAATTTAGACATTAAAGCTGCTTCACGAGCATCAGGAGCTGTAGATGCTCAAAATATCCGTACTGTTCGAATAGGCAACCTGGCACGTCGTACCATAGTCCCCCGCAATCGTCGCCCTCTCAGCCAACCAATTCGTCAAATCACTTTCACGGCAGCTCTCCCCTGGGCCATCAGAGCAGCCATCTAAGCTCTGCGGGCTGTCGTTGACAAGTACTCTGTAATAGTTTCCTCTATCAAAGCTGAAGCTGTCGCACGCCATCTTCTCAATGGCCACGTTCGTGAGGAAAGGCAGGATGTGGCTAGATTTCCACGCTCGGCGGTGGTTGATCCTGTCTGTAGGCATGGTTCCATTGATGTTGTTCGCGCCTGAGAAAGCGGAGTTGTTGAACAGTCCTAGTGCGACAAGCACCGTAGGAGGGTGCTGTCGATGCGTAAAAGAGATGTACAGATCTTGGTCTGTGGTGTCGTTGGACATCTTGTCCTGGGTGGACATCAGGGCGTTGAAAGTGGCGTTGACCCATGGGAAGCCAATTGCTCCCGATAATGGATTTCCGTAGCCAGCATTATAGTGGTACATGATGTCGTTCGTGTATTCGAATCCCAACCATTCGTTTGGTGTGAGGACTTCCAGGTCGCAGAACGGAGAGGAGCCTCGAATTACGGTTTCGTAGCCACAGAGGAGAGACATGGCGTAGATGTCCGTGTCTGTGAAGTTGAAAGCTGGAGCAGCAGCATTGAATCTTGCGGCAGGGGGCTCTGTGTAAGCACTGCGGAAAATCTAGGATTAAGTTAGGATATATGTTCTCCGTCAGAGCTCCGAGCTCGGAACATACACTTGATTGATCGCTACCTGTAGAGCCGATGAATTTGGAACAGCTCTTGTACGGCGTCAAAGAATTGGCCCCCTCTTCCTTTCTCTCCGAAATGGGCACAACTTGGCTGGAGAAACTATCATCCGCCAGCCCTTCAGCGAAATACTCTGCACTCTTGACTGTCCGCTCGGCACTCGACGCGAATATCTTTTGGGGATTCCTCAATCCCGGGTATCTCTGTGCAACATCCAACCCCAACCTCGTGGCCTCCAGCTTACCACTCTTGGTCAGCTTTTCCTGGTCAGCGGCCGTGATGGGGCTCTCCCATGTTGCGAGGAAGGACAAAACTGGAATCTTAGACCAGTCAACTACGGTATTGGAGAGCTTTTCAACGAAGGGCTCGATGAAACTCTCGTACTCATAGTCGTTTGCATAGATAGCTGCATGGCGGATGAGGTACGCTGCCCGAGTTACCTGACAACCCTGCGGTGGGCTTGGGTCGAGCGGAGGATCGAGCGGGTCGAAAGGAGGCGTCACACCTGCAAGATGCTCTTTGGGATCGAAGTAGTAGGAGTTGGGGGAGTGTGAGAGAGCGCCGGATGCGAGTAGAGCAATTGAAACGACTGTAGAGGGATACATGCTGTTGGGGGTGGGAGGAAGGGAGGGGGAAGAGGGGGGTGGGGGTTGTTGAACAGGATGGAGATGCAGAAATAGAAAAAGATAGGTAGAGAGGAAGAAGATAAGAATGGACGCCAACCTACCCTGTTGCCCTGTTGCCCTGTTGATATATTTAAACAAGCTTACTTATCTATGCGTATACAACCTAGAAAGACTAGCTCACTTAGCGACCTAGGTACCCGCTTCCCATTTCCCGTCTCGCATCAACATCAACTTCATGACCAGCGACCGATCCTGCCAAGGCACTAGCGCCATCCAGGAATAGTCTCTAGATCTAGGAGCAAGTACTACTACTACTAGTTCGGCGGTACAGCTATTAGCGTTCCTCAAGGATCTTCCAAAGCTTTAAAAGTGGGCTGCGCTCCAATTTATTAAACTACGTCGCCCCACCGTAAGTCAGATACTAGCATTTTAGCATATATTATTTAATGCACGAACCTGATTAAATGGCCCCCGATGTTAGACCATTATGCATAAAATCAATCACACTCAAATTCGCCTATTTGCAAGAGTGATTGAATTATTCTTCCCGATGAGTATGAGAGGTACCATAAAGGGAGGTAGGGGGTCGTGTCAAGGGTCCTAAAACCCTCTACTATCTGAGATGATCATTAATCCGCTTGAAATCAGTACTGAGCCCTATCTAGGAATAGTTTAGGTAGTAGACTGACAGTCCCTGATCTCCTATAGCCGTTCCCGTCTAATTTTTTTTTTGAAATGGTTTATGAAAGAGCTCGCTTCAAAATCTAGAAGCAGTCTAATAATATCGTTGTGATTACAATTTGATAAAATACGTGCCAAGACATTTCTCGGTGTCGCTGCCTCGGTTTATGTATCAACGCTTTAAGAGATTTAGAATCGGAATAGATCGATTCAGCAAAAGTTCGCAGAGGTAATGAGCACAGAACCGTGCAGGAAGTCCCGGGAATATGATTGAAGCTATTTTTAAGTCAATTACATATTAGAAAGTAACGTGACAGGCTGCTTTATTCTTTTTCTTGGTTCCAATTCAAGAGCGTATACTCGTATACAACAATCCCATGGTCACATCGGCGCATTGGAGACTTTCATAGTCACGTGTGGCATGACCACACTCACTTGAGCAAATTTGCGATGCTTCGCGCACCTTGTTACTTCACTCAAGAGAAGCTGCATGCCAATGTTTTCGTGCACCCAATCGTTTGTCGCGCCAACATTTGTTTCTGCATAGGGCTGCTAGCTAGGGACTCAAGTCGCCTTTTTCTCTACTGTTGTTTTTCTCATCTAGATACTAGCCCTCAAGCCAGCCAGCGCTCCAAACACAGCATCGAAGCTGCCCTCGAACCGCTCCTCGATCTTCTTCCAGTTCACCACCTGCCAGATCCCCTTGGCGTAAGAAGCCTTGTCATTCAGATACTGCAGGTAGTAGGCATGTTCCCACATGTCGACGCCCAGCAGAGGCTTCTTCCCAGCAGGCACGATATCCTGGTCTTTGCTGGTGGTGATCTCCAAAATCCCGCTCTCCACATCCTGCACCAGCCATCCCCAGCCGCTCCCTTTCAGCCCCAGCAGCGTGGCGTTGAACTTCTCCTGGAACTTCTCGACCGAGCCCCAGCGGGCGGCCAGAGCAGCGCTCAGCTTGGGGGCCGCGGAGATCTGGGCGTTCGGGGAGGATGAGGGAGTCAGGTTCTCCCAGAACAGCGTGTGGTTGATGTGACCTCCCGCACTGAAGTTGAGATTGTTTTGGAGGTGGATCTGTGTGACGATGTCGTTCTTGGTAGAGGCCGTGGCTTGGGAGGCCAGGGTTGCGTTGAGGACGTTGATATAAGTCTGGTGGTGCTTGGTGTGGTGCAGAGTCATAATTTGAGAGCTGATTTGCGGCTCGAGTGCCTGAGGGCTGTTAGTATTGCTCGCAATATGACACTGGGTTTGGTACATCGTAGGCATATGGGAGAGGTGGGAGTGTAAAGGCCATCTTGAGATTTGCGGATATCTTGCTTGTGAGAATTCCTGTGAGAGCAAAATCTTGAGCGATTTGAGGTTGAGGTCGATATTGATGCGTGGAGTGGAAGGAGGGGAAGTGAAAACGAGGGGTAGCTTTTGGCTCTCAGCACGTCACTCCAGAGTCCTCCGCATCATCCACACCCATGCGAAGAATTCTACCATTGCTTCATAACTATTGGCTGTGGGTGCCAAGTGCTGACGAGCATTTGCGCTGGATTGAGAGAATTAACCGTTGACATAAAACAAAGTCTCGCTTAGCACTCTAGCGAATGGGAGGTGGGATCCATAACCCACCGACGCGGCTGCATCGACTTGGGAAGACCACGCGCTTCTGTATACGCCTACCTGGAGTGACTATTGTCACTAGCTGACTGTTATACATGCCAGATCAGCAACCGATATATCTCAAGTCGACGTCGACCTATAGTCTGTCTTCGGCCAACGCTATTAAAACCGCTAAAAACCATCAGATCTATGTCTTTCTTCTTCAACCTCTTATCTATGCTCACTCGCGGCGCCGTATGTTTTCTAGCAGGGTAAAGTAATTTCTTCTGTTTCTGGCGGCGGCTAGGAAAACGCTGTGTGGTAGATATGAAGAGGTGGAGGATGGACTTTGAGATCTGGCCGTAAGATGAAATCATGCTGCAGGCTGGCTAGAAAAGAAAGTTTTGAACTCAAATTTGATCTCTCCCAGGGTGTTAACAGGGAGACGAGAAGTATCATGTGTTCTACAGGTGTCATCCCCCTCTCTCCGTAAACAAAGTGGATCGCATTTACACTGAAAATACTGAAGTCTCCATGTTGGCCAAAGCTTAGTTACTACCCGTCTTATTTCTGTCTGACCATCTACTCTGTAGAAAATAGCGCTTTCTCTTGGTCACAGGAGGTTTTCTTGGCTACTATGCCAAATTGCTTTTGAGCTGCGTGGATCGTGCTGCATCGTCTTTAGCTGAAGTGGTGTCTGGACGTCTGAATAGGAGCTGAGACCCTGGAAAAAGACTCGAATCTAGCTGGGTCGGTCTGAGCAATAACACGAGTAGCCAATGAAAACTGACACAGCCTACAGTGGTCAATCGGATCATCATTTTCTCGGATTTTCTAAAGGCAGTTGAGATACCTACCGGTACTGTCTGTCATCAAACATTTGCTTACCCTGCGAGGCAGCCTCTGGAAGAAGTCGAAACATGAAAGGGGTAGGCCCTTAGCAACTAAGCGAGTTTCCTCTGTAGCAGAATTCAAGCTCTAGGCTCTTTCCTGAACATCTACTATACGTAGTATATGCACTGTATCTTGAGTATTCCAAACTTACTAGCAAAGGTTATCTGAGCCTGGGATTTACCAGTCCAGAAATTCATAATCCTTCTCCAGATCAAGAGCACCTGATCCCTGCCTTCGCCTGGTCAGAGATCCCCCTTTCTGTTCTTGTCTAGAGATACCTAATTTTGGCGAGCGTTTATCGATCACCTGCTCCAGTCCGAATATCAAGCCAACCATCTGCAGGCTAGTGCTGAAGAGTTGCCCCAGAACTGTGGCTCAAATATCTCGGCAGTCTTGCCCTGGGATTTCGGGGATCAACAACCGCGGACGCTTTCCGGGTGATGATCCACCCTGCATTACCCCAATCTACAACGTACATGTCAGCCTCCCTCGAGATCTCACCTGTCATGAGCGCCAAATCCTCAGACCCCAGAAGTAGAAAACCATCCAGACTGTGAATTTACCTGTAGGATTGTCAAGTTGACTTGTTCAGTCCATTCCTGTCGCGTTTTCGCCCAGAATGGAAGGAACCTGTCTCTGCGGCGCCATCAGAGTCCGCGTCAACGACCCTGACTTGTTCACGAAGAAGAGAGGCCACATCTGCAGATGTACCAACTGCAAGAAGACGGCTGGATCTGGTATGTTTACATATACCAACCCATCGTCCAATCCTATTTTTCACACCATCTCCTAACCAGGTTCGAACCGTTGGACTGCAATACTTGTTGATATGAGATTATAGCCGCTGCTACCAACCTGATTATCGAGGATGAGAAAGTCGAGATCATCGGTGAAGAGAACTTGAAGCGGTACGAGGACAGAGATACGTTGAGCGGGACGCCGTTGGGCAGGTTCTTTTGCTCAAATTGCGGGAAGTAAGTCTTGAGCGTTCTACAGTTAGTGGGAAATATTATTGAGGATGGTACATACAGCCCAATCAAGTCTGTGACACCACTGTACAAAGGCAAGACAGTGTTGAAGCTGGGAATCTTCCCGAAGATCCCGACACCGGAGTGGGAATCGTTCACGGGGAGCAAGCAAGAGTGGGAAAGAACGCTTGAGGGGACGGTGTTGTACAAAGGGAAGAGTTTTGGGGAGAAGATGGAGTAAGGGGCTTATTAAGGAGTGAGAGACAGTCTATAAACTTGGGAGTTAATATGATTCACTGACAAGTATTCTTTCTATGTTTGCTCGGCTTGAATTTAAGAATGTGCTGAGTGCTGAACCTCCAAGCAAGATCAAGCCCACCATGAGCGATTCTAAATTGGCGCTGCTGGAAATAAGTTGACTTGGAATGTACAGGGAGCTTAGCATCACGGAGTTGGATTCCCCATGTAAAATGAATAGAAGCGCAAGAAAAGGAACACGGGCATGGGAGTGCAAGCAATATCGAATAAGCAGGAATCCAAGGAGATCTTTCTCACTAAGAATCTTTCTTATCCTGTGAGTGACCCTCGAAGCTATCATTTCTCGCCGAAAGCGGCAAAACCGTATCTGATAGTCTGATAATCTGGTTATACGGGGAAAGACTGCTGCTAACCACTGGCTTGCCAACTACCACCTTCTGGTCTCTGGTCAATTCGAGACTCGCCATGGACATTCTGCAGCAGAGCCAACATGGCGTACATGGATACAAACAACCACAGTTCCCCATATCAGAAGTAAGAAATTTAGAAACACAATGCAAAATAGGAAAGATAATATGGATGAAAATACCTACGCTCGCTATGATAGAACGACTTGATTTAAGCGGAGAAGGCTTGGGCTTGGGCTTGCCTGGGCTCGGCTCGGCCCGGCCCGCTCTCTCTATTTTCTCGAGGCCAGCCTCACCGGCGCGTCGCATTGAACACCAAGGCGATCACCCTCCCCAACCGCGGCAAGATGGGCAAAAATAAACGCCTGAAATCCGGCACCGTATCCACCAACTCGAGGAAAAAACAAAAAACTCCCAAAACTCTAACTCGTCCTTCGGGCGTCTCGAAGTCCACTTCGGCGCAAAAGCCCGCCTCCAAACCCACAACCACCCAAGCCATCCACTCCAAGCCCACCATCCCCTTCTCCCCCTCCGACGCCATCCTCCTGGTAGGCGAAGGCGACCTTTCCTTCGCGCGCTCGCTAATTGAAGAACACCGCTGCGAGAATGTAACAGCGACGGTGCTGGAGAGCGAGAAGGAGCTGAAGGAGAAATACCCGCACGTAGTGGAGAACGTGGCCGCCGTGGAGGAGGGAGGGGGCAGCGTGAGGTACGGGGTCGACGCTGGAAAGATGAAGCCTTTCGTGGACGGGAAGGGGAGGAAGGGGCTGGGGGTCATGGACAGGGTGTTCTTCAACTTTCCGCACGTGGGAGGCAAGAGTACGGATGTGAATCGGCAGGTTAGGTATAACCAGGGTATGTTGCTACATAACATCTCTGTTTTTTTCCGGAGCGTGAAGATGGAGGGGCTAATGATGGTGGTTATGCAGAGCTCCTGGTATCGTTCTTCAAGCAGGCCTTGCCGTCCCTGTCTCCTACCAAAGGTAGCTCCATCATCGTCACGCTGTTCGAGGGCGAGCCTTATACGCTGTGGAATATCAGAGATCTAGGACGACATTCAGGACTAGAGGTTGCGCAGAGCTTTAGATTTCAAGCAAAGGCTTACCCGGGCTATAAGCACGCGAGGACGTTGGGGGTTGTGAAGGGGAAAGATGGGAAGAAGGGAGGTGGGTGGAGGGGCGAGGAGAGAAGTGCGAGGAGTTATGTTTTTGTAAGAAAGGGGGAGGGTGCTGTTTTTGGGAACGGGAAGGGGAAGAGGGCGAAGAGCGTTAGTAGTGATGATGATGATGATGATGAAGAGAAGGACGAAGAGCCAGAAGAGGGGTTTGAGGATATTGAGGGGCTTGAAACTGGATCAGAAAATGAGCACGAGGATGAGTATTCCGACCACCCACCAGAAGACGATTGAAAACCTGTTCAACTCTCGCGTCACAGCGATAAAAGCGCCTCGAGGATTTGGGATTTAGGTGGCTGAATCGCTAGCCATGGGCTTATGCTACGGATACATGGGTACTTCAACTCCTTCCGTATAACGCCAGCCCGGATGTATTTGCGATCTTGCACTTTTGCAACCCAAATAGATCCCATCGCCAACTCCCTGAGATCGAATGGCAATGGCATTCAGCAAATCTATCAACACACTAACGCCGGGAAACAAGTCTAGATCTGAATGGCACCAGGCGGGACATGCATTCCATTTATGGGTAGAATCCCATCCACCATTGCGCCGTTTCCAGCACCCACAGACAGTGGCAGCAAAGCCTCGCCGAGCATACCCTCCGGATGTAAGGCGTACATCGGTGCCTCCATCGAATCTCCGTCAAGTACCACCATGTTTTGGATTGGCTGTTGACGAGCACCAAGGACGTTGATGACATCTTGGGCAAGCTGGCCACCGAGTACAGCCGTAACAGGCGCAATCTCACTGCCCAGGTTCTGCAAAAACTTGCGGAGGACCTCGGAACGAAGCGTCTCTTCTGGGAGACCTAGGGCCTTGTGCTTTTGGGTCGCCAGCCTCGTGAATGTCTTAAAGTGTTCTGCATTACTTGGCAATTGGCCGTTGTGCATTTGGAGGAATTCCCATAGGGCACGTAGACATGACAGAATCGGAGTGACAGCCTTTAATCGTCGTCTGCTCTTCAGGAACTCCACGGGGAGACTCGCGGCATCGCTAGCCAAGAACCACGTAGAATAGAGTTCCCGCTTTGTGACCATCTCAACGTTCTTTCCGCCTTCCTTCTTGACCTTGACGTCGACAACACTGCGTGTCCGCGTCTCGGGTCCTTTCACGGTCGCCCTATTGCCCTTCTCTCTCTCTACCAGGTAGTCGTGCTGAATCAAATCCGAGAATATGAAGCCGTAGAAACCGTGCACACCCGCGGCGTAGAAAGCCTTGTGATTGATTCTCGTCGCCGTATTGATGATATTCAGGGAATCTGGGAGCAAATCCGTCGCAATGACAACATCAAACCGCCCAAAGTAGTCCGGACTCTTCTCTTTAACATTTTCCTGGTCCACAATAACACTGACTCTCGGGTTCAGCTTTCTGATCTGCGGCGCAGCAGCCTCGGCTCGGTTCATACCAACATCGGATTCGGAGATGAAGAACTGCGAACCAAGGTCGTTCTCGGTGATGTTCTCGTGGTCGACGACTGTAAGGGAGTGGATGCCTGCCAAGACGAGGTTCTTGGCGATCTCGTTGGCGAGCGCTTTCATGGTTATGAGGAGGATGTTGGCATTGCGGATCTTTTCTTGCGCCTGGACGCCCCAGAGTCGGATTTGTCGGTCGTAAAGGGCGATTTCATCTGGGGCTTGTTAGCTGAGCGCAAGTGGAAG